TACACTAAACCCAGAGAGACGCACGTCCACTAAACCAGAGAGATGCACGTACACTAAACCCAGAGAGACGCACGTCCACTAAACCAGAGAGATGCACGTACACTAAACCCAGAGAGACGCACGTCCACTAAACCAGAGAGATGCACGTACACTAAACCCAGAGAGATGCACGTCCACTAAACCCAGAGAGACACGCACGTCCACTAAACCCAGAGAGACGCACGTCCACTAAACCCAGGGACGCACGTCCACTAAACCCAGAGAGACACGCACGTCCACTAAACCTAGAGACACCTCCACTAAACCCGAAGAGACGCACGTCCACTAAACCCAGAGACACCTCCACTAAACCCGAAGAGACGCACGTCCACTAGACCCAGAGAGACATGTCCACGAAACCCAGAGAGACATGTTCACTGAACCCAGAGACCTGTTGTTTATTTTTATTCTAAATGAATCAACACTCTCCGTTTGTGCACGCCCCTCTCATCAGACACGCCCCCTCTGCCTTCTGATCCGATGACCTTTGACCGGAGCTTCAGACTCACCCGGCGGTTGTCCGTGTCATGGCTGAACCATCGCACCACCGCCTCTAGAACGTGCTTCTCGTTGCCCACGTTGAGCTTCTCCATGCTCAGCACCTCACACAGCCGGTTGTGGGGCAGCTCCCTGAACTCCTCGGTGAGCGCCACGTCACGGAAGTGGGTCTGCAGGAAGTCAGTGGCGACGTAGTGGACGTGCTGGAGGTTGTAAAGCAGCGAGAAGAGGCGGATGCCGATACAGTTCTCTGCTGTGATGCAGCTCTCCAGGAATTGGCAGCAGAGGGACTTCAGATCGGTCATGAGGAGCAGGTCGGACGCCTGCACCACGTCCTGAATGGTTTCTTCGCTCAGGATGATCTGCAAGAGAAAAACAAGGTGCTCAGTTTTGCACATTGATGATTACAGTTAAAACACAAAGTGGTCTCCAGATGACGTGCTCAGCAGTTCAGTCAGAGGATTTCAGACTAACTGTAGAATCTGCTTTTTCTTCCAAACCTCTCTTGTGTTTGTAGCTTTTGTGCCTTTTTTCCTTTCCACTAACTTTCCATTAACATGGTTGGGTAAAGCCCTCTGGAAAGCACCTTCTTTAGGACTTTTTAGGTTTCAGTCACCCTCTGCTCCTGTCAGCTGTCTTCATCAGGACAGTGTGGGATTAACCCAAACACCTAAGGCCCTTTCTTATTGGCTTTATTTCTGCTTTGTCAAACCAAAGGAAACCACTGCTGAAGCCTCACCTCCCCGCTGAAGATGTAGTCCAGGATCTGTTTCATGACGCTCATGGAGACTCCCTGTAACTCAATCCTATAGGTTGACCCATCTTCTTTGGGAGGGTTGTAGTTCAGCTTGGTTCTGACAGAAAACAAATGACATCAGAATGTGTCACAACATGCAAGTAGAAGTAAAGTGAACACACCCTTCCTGCTTCAACCCAGCAGGTCTGACCTGATGTAGGGGCTGGCTGCAGCCAGGATGTTCTTCTGCACCGGCAGCTCCTCTCCATCCACAACAAGCACCGCATCGTGGAAGCTTTGCTCTTGCCAGAACGACCGGAGAACTCTGAGCAGCTTCTGCGAGTGCTGCGGATCAGAGACCGTGAGACCCGGATCACTGGATGCGGAGCTCGACATGTCGGGACCTGGGACTGCTGTCTGCAGAAGCAGACAAACTGCATCTCAGAATTGATCCATATTAAAATTAACAATTGTATAAAGAACAAACGATGAGCCGATCGCTGTGTAAAAGCATGACGATTAATGCTAACGAAGATTAATTATGTGAAACCGTCGCTGGTAGCTGCGGCAGGCTGCTCCGCCTTAAAGTAGACGGTTTTTAAACAAGGTCTGGCAGGAAAAACTAGGTTAAACCCAGCAAAACAAAAGATCAGCAAAACTACTGACAGGCAAGATAAACGGCTCAGACAGCGATTAAAGGTGAACCTGTCATGGTGGATCAATCAAGAGTTATTGATTCTAAGGTCTTACCTTCAGTTTGCAGAGTGTTTGAGGTGTTTTATGGCACAGGGTGTGCAACAAACTGCACCCAGGACACAACACTCAATGTTGAGGCGACGCCAGAGGCATGGGTTACATGGTGCGTTCAGGAACGTAGGACCAAACTATAGAACTCTCATATATATATATATATATATATATATATATATATATATATATATATA